TAGAGTAAAAAATTATTTATTTTCTATGATTGCCGATGAAACAACAGATACATCAACAGTCGAACAATTAAATCTTTCGTTGCGATATTATGATCAAAAAAACAAACGATATACGAGAAGACTTTTTAACGTTCATAGAAACCGTTTCGTGTACAGGTGAAACAATAGCTAATGTTATTCTTGATTATTTAACAGCGCATAATTTACCATTTGATAATTGTATAGGTCAAGCATATGATGGAGGTTCAAATATGGCCGATATTTATCGAGGTTGTCAGCGATTAATTAAACAAAAATGTCCAGATGCAGAATATTATCATTGTTCTAATCATTGTCTCAATTTGGCGCTGATGAATAGTTGTAGTATTTCACAAATTCGTAATATGATGGGAACAATCAAGGAAATAATTAATTTTTTTACAGATTCATCAAAACGATTGCATGCTCTTCGGTCTGAAATTACGGACTATCAAGGAAAATACATTTGTTTAACAAATAAAAGCCGTTTGCTTAGTTTATGTGATACTCGATGGATTGATGGAAATACATCAATTGAAACATTTTTAGAATTATATATTCCAATTGTTAATACATTAGACAAATTTAGATATGGAACGTTGAAAGATTCAACAGTCGAACAATTATATCATGCCGTAAACAATTTTCAACATATTATCTCAACTTGTATTTCATGGTTTTTATTATCGGATATTATTCCTATTAGTCGTTTACTACAAACAGAAACATTGAATTTTTCGTCGGCTAATCGATATATTGATGATTTATTAGATACATTTGAACAACGAAAACATCAGGCTCAAGATTATTTTCGTAATGTTATTTATAGTCATGCTGATGAATTATGTAAAGAACTGTTGTCACACCATGCATACCGCGTCATTCAACATTAGCTTTGCAAAAAAAAAATGTCAATTTGTGATCCAGAACAATTTTATTGTGAACATGTTTATTTACCATTCTTAGACGAATTACTTAATAATATTAATAGTCGATTATCTGGTTTAAAAAGCGAGTGAATTATTTTGTTGAGTAAATTGCGACCAGAAGTAATTGTAAATGAAAAACCATTTGAATTAACAAAATATTTATCGAAACAATTCGCTGATCGTCTACCATCACCATTACAATTAAATTCTGAATTAGAAAGATGGCAAAATAAATGTAATGATTTTCTTAAAATGGATGATGACTAGGGATAAAAATGGTTAAGTGAAATAATTAAAGAGGCAGATAATGTATTATATCCAAATATTCGTTATTTGTTAATTTTCTTGGCAACATTACCTATATCAACAGCTACTGCTGAAAGAAGTTTCAGTCAATTGTCAAGAATTAAAACTTATTGTCGTTCTACAATGAAACAAAATATGCTCAACGGACTTGCTGCTGCATATATTCATAAAGATCTGGATATAAATCCGGATGAAATATTGAAGTTATATACACAAATGCATCATCGTCGTCTTAATTTTGGTTAAATTTGAAGTATACGACTAAAAGGACCATATCTCATTTTTTTTTGTATTATAAAAAGAACCATGTTTCATTTCTTTTATGTTTTTAAGAGAACTACATTTCATCTTTTTTTGTTCTTTTAGGTTATTAATAAAAAAGTTTTAGCCTATCAAGAAAAACCTTGCCCATTTTGTTTAAATAATGTAGCTCATCCTTTAGTGAACTCTTTTAAGTTCAGCAACTCTAAAAGTATCAAAATTGTTATCACTAATTTTCTCAAAAATTACAGACATAAAAATCTGAGAACTAAGATTGTTTTCAACTTGAATAAAGAACATTTTAAAAAGCCACTAAAATTGAATTAAACAAGTTTCGATTGCACGTTCTCAAGATGGAAAGACACGACATTGGAACCGATGCACAACCCAACCCACGCTATTTCTTTTCTGTGTTTCATAGAATGTCTAGCCATACTTGTTTGTCTTTTATATTGACATTTTAACTTAGTCAGTTTTCTGATACTAGTTTTTGTTTTCTCTTACCACTTTTAGTACTGAGATAAATAAAAGCACCGGAACTTCTCGTGAGGAGCATATGGAACAGAGAAAATGGTCCTATTGAATGGGATGTATTTCAAAATATCGCATCTCACATAGAGTATGACAACGTTCAAATTGCAGTATCACTAAGAACAATCTAAAAATGCTGGAAGAAGTATCGTATGTTCGTTTTGGAAAGCTTTCAAAAACTTTTCTTTTTATCTAACGTGATATCTTCAAATATTTTTTTGTGTTATCTGATATTTCCTTAAGATAGCTTGTTAGCGGAGCTCCTTTGCGGTTAAAATATGGAACTTACATATTTCCAATATGCAATAATTCCTAATCATCAGGAGTTTGTCGAAGTAGGAAAGGGTGTGAGCGTGGATTTGGGTATGGGTCTTCCATTATCATAGACACCCACTCCCACATCCACTCACACCCACACCCACACCCCACGCCCATACCCACACCCACACCCCACGCCCATACCCACACCCACACCCCACGCCCATACCCACACCCACACCCCACGCCCATACCCACACCCACACCCCCACCCACACACTGGAACCCATTATGAC